AAACTCCCAAACACACGACAGTTTACCTCCAGATTACCGACACGTTTGCTCCACCTCACGTGGGCTAAACTAAGTAAACACCGATAATCCAAAAGCTCTGATCAATGGATAGCTTCAACTCGTAAATTCAAGGTCTCACAATCATACAACAGAAGTGACCGAACGGTAACAAAATACATGACCTTTAAACTTCAATGAAACGTCGCGCCTACGTCAAAAGGTGTTTCAGTCCTGTGTACGCTGCTCGAGCCTTGGAAATCTGGGCGGTTCTCTTTTGACGCGCTACCCTCATTGGTCACACAGCTACATAAGTAGGAAAAGTAATCCGCCGTAACTAATTCCGACCCAATTAGTTGCAAAGCAGGAGTAGGCGACACCCAAGCTTGCAGCATCACTTTGCACATACAGAATGTGTTGCAACGGCACTTGTTAGTCTATGAAGTGCGCATTGTGCGTCCTCCAAACATTCGAACAGAAAGACGATTTCATCAGCATACTCCTAATCGAGCAGGTTCCGCACAGTTTGGGAGAACACTCAGTGCGCTCTCCAGTATTTCGTCTACCAACAAATTAAACAGGAAAAGCGGAAGGGGGCACCTTGACGAACGCTGCAGCAGATGACGAATGATCTACTTAATTCACTGTAAACCCTCACTCGACGACAGCACAATGACAGCAGTAAGTTAACGTACTTCTGGGGCATTCCTTTTAGAAAAGGGGAACCCATCAGAGCTTCGTAGTCAACTGAGCCGAAAGCTCTTGTCAGGTCACGGAACACTGCGATCCTTGGTCTACGATTGGTGTGACGCAGCTCACCTGACGCAACGTAAAAACTGGATCAATACATCCACGGCCGTTCATGGCTGCTGGTCTCTCTTAAAGGAGTCAAACTTCGAAGTATGACGGCAGCTAGCACTTTGGTAATGATCGAGATAAAGCCTATCCCGCGGTGGTTTCTGCAATCGTTGCGAGATCCTTTTTTGAAAATGGGAACGATTAGTGATTCGCTCAAGATGAAGGAATGCGTTCTTGCGTCCAAATGTCCCGCTTACGAAGTTATCAAGCCCCAGCCTGAAAACAGTGCGAGGGAACTCGTCTGGTTCTGATGCATTGTCCCGCTCTAGAGCTTCTACTTCTGCTAAAGGATCGCACGTCACTGTCAAAGGACCTTCAGTTGTAGATGAAGTAATCTGGTTAACGCCACGCCAAGTGAACTGTTCGCTGAAATATTCCGCCCAGCGATTAAGTCGCTGTTCTCCATTGTGAACAGCTTATCCAATCTTATGGCAGACTGCTTCACTAATTGTGGTTCGCTAAGCCCCCGTGTCGTGTATCAGTCGGAACAGTCTTTCGTTATTCCTTGATGCAACCGCTACTTCTCTTTCAATAGCTATTGTTGCCCGCCAGTTCTCACGGTCTTTCTCGAGGCTCTTCGTGAGCTGATGCTGCAGACGCCACCTACCCCTTGATCCCGGGCGGTTGGGATTTTCCGCCTTTTCTCCATCAATGCTACTGACTCATCAGATATCCAATGCCTCGGAAGGGCTACCGCTGCGGAGTGTATTGCTTATCTATATTACCACGTTGCAGCGCCCTTAGTACTTATCCTAGCTCTGCTTAGTGGCTGGACACCCTAGCAGTACCCGTCCATCAAACCCAAATACATATTCATTGCGAGTTTGGCAGCGATCAGTGACGTTTGCTTCCCTGTATTTCGCTGTAGGATGATGATGATTCAAAGAATTCAGAGTCACAGAATCCGGACTGTGTGCCAAACAAATCATGGTATAATCATCTTTCATTTTCAAAAGAAAAAACGTTCTATGGTTGGTGTGGGGGGGAATACTGTCAGGTTGTCCTGCCAAGGCTGATGAATTTTCTTGAGGAATCCACAACCGGAGCCTTCTGCTAACCAAAGCCTGACCCGCAAAGCAGCGGTCGGTGTGTGAAAACCACAATCCATTTGGGGGCCAGTGTCCAGTTCATTGGATCATACAGTTCAGTTTAGTTTAGTTCACTTTGTGAAACCATCAACCGTGCACTATCGTGCGCCGGTTTTCATTGCTATCTTTCGGCTGTCCATTTGGATGAACATAAAGAGAAAGACAGGAAAGGTCGAAAGTAGGATCGAAGAGAAAATTGAAAAGTTCAGTGGACTAATGATGCAGAAAAACTGAGATGCACGAACGCCCCTGTTCAGGACACAGCCATATCACTCAGTGTCTCTAACCATGGGGTACGACCGTCCCGAGATTTGCAGTTAGGGGGCCTAACGGAACCTGTGACCCAGACTCCTGGTTAGGTTTTCCTACCCTCATGCCAGGTCTTAGATTGACCACCCTGGGCTTTATTCCATTCTCTACTTGTCTTGGCAAACATCGCTCGCTGTGGAGACTTAGTTGGTGACATGCGTAGCACATGCCCAAACCAACGTAATCTATGGAGGTCGATCACTTGCTCTAGTGGGCGACCGCGGATACCCAGAACTCTGCATCTAACCTCAACATTGGCTCATCCGGCTACCCCACCAGATTCGCGCAATGCTGCGTAGACAGCGGTGTTCAAACACCCACAGTCTGTCTTTATCCTGTTTTCTTAATGGCCAAGTCTCTGCACCGTATAGCAGGACTGTCCGAACTGCCGCAGCATACACTCGACCCTTCACAGACAACCGGATGTCGTGACGATGCCACAGATGTCTCAAGTTGGCAAATGCCAACCGAGCCTTCTGTATGCGACCTGACTCTTCATCCGTGATGCGTCCGCCGGGTGAGATGTAGTTGCCCAGATAAAACGTATCCACCTGCTCTATCGCTTCCCCAGTTAGAGTAGGGCTGAGTACTGGANGTACTGGACCAACCCATTCTTGTAGTAATATTTTACACTTTGAAGGTGCAAAAGGCATACCGAGCATGGCTACATTAGCACTCAAACTTTCCAGAAAAGCTTGTAACTTACCTGGATCTACTTAGAAGCACAATGTCGTCCGTATACTCTAGATCAGACAGCCTGCCATCTGTGAGTAAGCCGATGTCACTATCCTCGCTGAGGATAGGGCTGTTTCCATAATCAGATCTATAACAAAGTTAAATAGAAACGGAAAGAGAGGGCAACTCTATCGAACACCACTTTCTGGAGTGAACTCGGGTGAAAGGTACCGTAAGCTCGGACACGGCTTCGGCTGAGTACAGAGGAATTGTAATATTGAAATAAACAGCTCAGGCACACCCTTCAGGGAAAGGCAGTGCCAGAGTCTAGAGCGATCAACTGAGTCGAAAGCCACTTTAAGATCGAGAAAGACAGAGATGGAGGATCAACNNNNTCAACGAAAAAAATTTCAGTGCTCCAGAGTTTGGTGAAGAGTGAAGATGTAGTCGATGCAACCTCGACCAGGTCTAAAGCCAGCCTGGTTCTCATGCGTGCACCATTCACGTGCGGCAGACAATCAACGGAGTATGATACTAGCAAGAAGTTCAGAAGCAACGTTGATTAAACTAATTCCTGTGGTTTTCGCAAAAGGATCTGTTACCTTTCTTGTAAATCGGTATGATGCCGGATCACATCATTCAGCTGGAACTT